AGCTCGGCGGCACAGCCGCCGCTCAAGCGGCTTGCCCGTTACAGCGCTAGAGTAGCTTGCCAAAATGACTGCAGAAAGTCTGCCGTTAATCGCAGGATGTCCCGATCTTCCTGTGTAAGACAATCATCGCCAAGAGCCTTGTGATGTTCTTGCTGGAACATCATCAGCTTGTCCTTCTTGTCCAGTGCGTTCCGAAGGAGCATATACCACGAGTTCCATCTCGTCGCATTGTCGATGCCGAGTGCGCAGCCTGCTAGGTGGTGCCAAGCATCGCTGTGCACTGTGGAGCTTCGGATAAACACAGCGATATTGTGCAGCTTGCCAAGAGGTCTCATGGATCGCCACCCGGCTTGGTCCTTTGTTGTCTTCCAGCGCCTACCCTTGCCAGCCCTTTGCCGCAACTGCTCTTGTAGGTACTCAACTGCTGTTGTATCCATGCTTCTGTCTGCCTCTTCAATCGCTGCGCAGAGAGCCTCTTTGCTAGAAGCGAACAGAAACGCCTGAAGACACAAGTTGATGATGTGCCCTCCGCATCGGATGCGACGCTCGGTCGGGTGGAATTCAACGCCGAACTCGCTCGCCAGCGACATCGACAGAGCGCTCATCCAAGTGTCATTAGAGGTGGCATTATCTGCTGTAAAGTAGCCGACGTTGTCCGCAATGCCAAAGTGTTGTATCGTGTCCAGCAGGTGTATGGACATCGTCTCGCCTGAGTGGTTGTGCCTTATGTTTGGCAGGCCCAAAAGTGCTTCACGTAGCTCATAGTTGTCATCCACCCATGGGCTGCAGATTCCGAGAAAGGCTTTGCGATGCGGTGACGACCACAGATCGATGCTGAAGTGCACTTTAGACTTGGCTGCCTGCAATTGGGACTTGATGGCCTCTCGGTGAAGCAGATATGATCTCTCAATATGAGCGAATACAGTGGTGCCTGATTGAATCAAGACTTCCTGCCCCCTCGGCAGAGCAGTGCTTGGTACTCTGGCCATGAGACACAGTTCAGTGGGAGGCGGCGCCGCGTTATCAGTTGGAGCTGTGCCTCATAAAATGCATCCAGTTGGATCGTATTCCTCAGTATAGATTCCTCGCTGCGAGTCGCAATCTCCCGGCTCTTCTGCTCCGCATGCATGAATGCCACTTCCAGGGACTGCTGCAGCGCCTTCTTAGCTGGCCGTTCTTCCTCCTCGATGGCAATACCGTGTGTATTCCGCATGTGTCGTTTCGCGCTCGTGGTCGAGACCGTTCGCCATGATGGGTTACAGCATTTCTGACAATACCAGAGTCTCTGGCTACTCTGGTGTGTCTCCTCGTCTGCCTGGGGAAGACGGAAGTGCTTCCAGGTCTCTGGCGTGCGTAGCTTGCGCTTCTTCGGTGTCTTCGGCTGCGACTCGTACGTGGACGGCGACGAGACGGAGGACGTCACAACGGAAGTCTGCGTGTACGGCTGCCCGACTGCAGATATGCTTGATTCTGGCGATAGTGAGCTTAGTGCCTGGCATTCAAGATGCTCAGTGGACGATGGGTAGCTCATGTTGTCCTGCATATGTTTACTCTAGGTGGCGAGCATTGTGGTAAGTTAGGAGGTCAGCCATGTTGACTCAACGCGAACAGCGCGTTGGGCTCGTGTATTCCTCGCGCCATTGGGCCGTGATGAAGCTGATGATGCCGGCAGGCAAGGGTAGTAGCATTCCGAGGTTGGTAATTGGATGCTTTGGCCACGAACTCAGTGCCGAGCAAAGTATCCACTTTAACTAGGACGTTTACGCATCGTCGACAATTGCAGCATCGACGCCTCGCAGAAACATGATGGCCTGTCTCACAGACGCAAAAAAAACGCAAAACAGCAGTGACTAGACTATTGATGAAAAGTCCCGCATGCAAAGATGTTTAGGCGTTCATAGCTAAGTAGGGACCGGCGCTCGTAATTGAGACTAGAGTGCAGCTACTACCCTAGACGGAAGATGAGAAATACTTCTTGCGTGTCACATTTAGTATGATTGAATAAGTACTTCCTAGCAGTTCAGTAGCCCCACTTTTTACTGATTACTGATTGATTGATAAGGTCCTTACTGTTACTGATAACTTACCAGTATCAATCAGTAATCAGTACTGATTGATAACTGACTGATTGTTGGGATGTCTGCTTTCCCGCATGGCGCGGGATTTCCTCACTGTGCAGGCGATGTCGGCGGAATGCGAGAGGATGTTCTCGGCTGCTGGCCGTATAGTAACCCCGATAAGGGCTTCTCTCGACGCTCAGATCATTGGCATCTGTCAGATATTGCGCTCCTGGCTGCGAGCAGGAGTTGTCGGGAATAAAGGCGAGATTGGGTTGTTTTCCTTGGTAGAAAATATTGACCCTGAGGGAAGCGCGCTCACAGCAGCGGATGACGAGGCACGTGTGGTGCATCATGCTTCATCGCCATGGTTGTTGGAGAAAGCGGCGCAGCACATAGACGAGGAAAACTTGTGGGAATGATGACTCCATGGCTAATATAAATGCATCATAAATGCATCGTAATATGCATATTCCACGATAACAAACAGCATGACGCAGATTGGCATGTAACAGATGCACAACAAGCAAAAAGTCGCATCACGTGCACGCACATACACTTGATGTACATCAATCAATCTTGAAGGTCAGTTGATACATTCAACCAGACCTCTGCTGACTAACATACACGTACATTACACCAAAGGTCTTGGTGTACGTTGATGTAGTTGATCGGAGCCCTCACTGGCGGGCAAGCAAAAATTGCTGATAGTCGGAAGAAAACCCAAAAAAACCACTGAAGTACACCAGGAGCGTTGATCCACGTTCGCCGTGAATGAACTCTTGCTTGCTAAGCAAGATACTGAGCTGGAAGAGTAGCTCTAAGAACTCGATCTGCGTTGATCCTCAAGCACTGTGCTTCCACACCTGGTCCTATGCTCATGGTTACGGCTGCTCTTCTCGGGCTGAACTGTACATGGCCATTTGTCCTCATCTGCCTCACTATTGTACTCCGTAGCGCTGGTATCGGACTCCCAGTCAGTCTCCTCAGCACTATTGTAGCCACTATCGTCCACAGTATTCCCTTCTGGTTCCATGTCATACTCGGCCGTGTTCACATCCTTCTCCAGAGTCGGAATGTGCTGCACATCTAGACTGTATCGACGATCGAGTATATTGGGCCATTTTCCAGTTGTCATGTCCGGGGTGTTCCAGAGCTGGTGCTCCCATAACAGCTGAATTTCGCGTTGTATCTCGAGCGATAAGGCCACCTTAACCTGCCTTCTAATCCGGCTAGGTAGCAGCCACTCTCGCACGACGAATGCAATAAACTTCTTCCATGTCTGTCGGTATCGGTACCTCGTACTCGGCTCGGTCATAACTGAAAATGCGTTTGCCTGGTAGCTGTTGAGCTTTGACGTCACAAGCCAGCATCGAATAAGACGGCTCGTATCGTTGGTCGTTTGGTCGTCCTCTCGCATCGGTTCAGCATCAGATCGACGGCGTGCAAGAGTAGGCAATTTTCTGTTCGGCTAGATGGGGTATAGTAATACTTTCGCAAGCCTCGCCATCGCCTTGGCCAAGATACAGATCGCCTCTATCCCTTCGTATGGATGTCATGCCCTTTAGGATGTCTCTGCGGACGCCTTTGTACATCTCGCGCCACCTCGTGCGGTCCAGCCACGGGCTTATTGCTGTGAGTGACCCCTCTCCTAGCGTTTCCACATATAGTCTACACTCTTTCTTCTTGTTTAGATGTTGATCCCGCCGTTGCAGAACAGCAGCTATGTGGTCTACCACAGCCCGTCTAACCACATCGGACTTTCTTGACCTCTTCGTATTTGGTGGGGTCAACTGTGTAATCGTTGGCGTCAATGTATCTGGTGCGTACATGGGTTGCACCCATAAAGGCAGTGATAGGCGATCAATCTCGAACCATCCACTAGCAAGTCTTGAAGGGAAGAATCTCTGACATACCACGTTCTCCCTCCAATGTAGTTCTATTGGTGTGTCAGCCACATTCACGCCACCCTCTTCATCTGCTGGAGATCTCTTGCGCTTGAGATCAGGTCGACCAGCGTTGCGGCTATTTTTCCATCCATGGCGCGTACGGAAGTGTGCTTGTATTTTTGGTAGCTGCCTGGCCATATATGGACATCGGCGACATTTTAGCCCATCTCGTTCAGGTGGTGCCAAGTGTGGAATATAGCTGACGGACGGCGGTGGGAATCGGAAGTCACGCAAGTCATTCTGATCCCGAATGATAGCGGGATGTTTTGAGATCGCACAGGCGATCTCTCTCCGTCGCGAGACGGGTATGTCTTTGTGTCGAACTTTCAAGTGGGTGAAGCTCTCCTTGGCCACCACAGCGAACCCGCATGCATTTCTGACAAACAGCGAGGCGGTACTGCTCCAGGATGATAAACGGCTCAATAGCATCCATAATAAAAACAAATGTACTTGAACTTCAGACGCACCGCAATCAATATTATTTTTTAGTCTATTACTATCCATGATGCTTTCTTTTTTAACAGTACGCGTCTGGCGCGTTCGCGTAAAGTGATGAGGCGTGGTGTATGTACTACGATTGGCTTGCGCCTGGGCAAGTGGGTCGGGCAATTTATCCAACTCTACCCCCGCTCGCGGAAATCCAACTCTACCCCCTGTTGACGATGGAATCCAATCCAACTCTACTGCAGTTGTGCTAGACTGTACAGTAAGCCGCTCTCAGAAGAGGTGGGATGGCACGAACGCGGCTGATTGGAGGTATATGGACCAAGATGTGTATACGCTGATGGCTGCACGAAATGAACAAAGTTCATAGCTTGCCCTACCGACAGCATTTTATTTATTGGTACATAGCACGAGCCAAACAGTTACTCAGTTTAGCTTTACTTCTTTTACTTGATAAACTCAAACAGACATAGGAGCCCAGATTCACTTGTGTATTTATTCCAGTTGTCGTTCCTGCATTGCTTCTACGGTCTCATCTCACAGAAGACTCCTACGAACACCCGTTGGTTCGACAGTGCCAGCATCACCCACGTACTCACGTTCTTCTACGTTGTTGCCATCAAGCTCTTCTAATTCTCCACTTACATCAACTTCTTCCTCAATACTGGCCTCCCTGCACGAGGCGTCCTCATGATTATGCACTAAGCGAATGTTAGCTCGGCCGAAGCATGCACATCAACGTATGCAGAGGCCTACGCGACAACTTATCTAAAGCGGAGCTTAATGCAGCATCACACTGATGTTTATGCTTCTCGTGCTTTGCGAAGGCTGGTAGAACAGTGTTCTCGTACCAGTTCTCGTCGCCGTTGATCTTTTCCCAGTCCCAGTGGTCCACTATCTCTGGGGGTGTGACCTGCCAGAGGCAAACGTAGTGGTTGGCATATATTGTCTTTCCGTAATGGTAGGGATCTTCAATGTCGTAATGCTCCATTTCGTCCAAGACAGGTAAAACCGGCAACCCGTTCTTCACTCGTATGTTAGGGTTGATTGCTGTCAGGGTCTTCTTTCCTGGCCTTCTGGGATTGGTTATTATCCCGGCTATTTCATCAATAGCCGATGGTGACGAGGTAAAAAATATGTAGGGACCTGGAACCCATACTTTATGGTCCAGATGCTTTGCCAAGGTAGTCTTCCGCACCGATGCATTGTCGAGGCGCATCTTGGTGT